GAGAGAGATTGGCGGGGTTGAAAGATAGTGAGGAGAGAGAAGGAAACACACTGGGAGAGAGAGGGATGTGGGAGTGTGAGGAAAAGCCCTAAAAAAGGGGTAAATTTAGAAATGACTACTTTCTTTTAAGAATAAAAACTTTAAATGTGCTATAATGTACCAACATTAAAACAAATATGCTGTAAACTTCAATTACAAATCTAAAATATGCTATTTGCAATATTCTCCTTTTTTTTTCTTTTTTTTTAGAAACACGTAGACTTTAAAAGAGCGTTTAGTACGAGGTAATCTTTAAATGAGAATGAAAATCTTGAGATATTCTTATATTTAGTACAAGAATTGTAATTTTTGTATTTCCGGGAAAGTAAATCCCATAGGTCTCACTTTACCTTACTTTGGGATAATTTGAATTAATATAGTGTTACTCATTTTCTCATAAATCTGATTATCATCGGAAACTAAATCAACAAAATTAACATTTGAGTAACTGTTCTCTTCCCCCACCATCATTGACCATCCCAGCCCGACTAAAATCAGCATCGATCTGCCATCGCCGGCCGGCCACTAGCAACCAGAGACCTACCATCAACGTCGACCCCCAGCGGCCCAAAATCTAACCAGATTTCGATCGAGAGTTTTCTATTGATTGAATAAGAAGAAAATTAACGAGATAGGCAGGTTTTCGACAGACCTATTTCCCATTTCCCATTTTATCTCTAGGCGCTTACTCATCCCCTCCAATCCTTTCCAAGCATCAAGCCAGCTCAGCTAACCGTCTAACAACCTAAGGAACTGATTCCAAGAGCTGCATCCTCACTAGCTTCTCCTGGACCTGCAACAATCCCCTGCGTTGCTGCCTCACTTGCTTTCTCTGGACTTGCTGATTTCTTCATACCAAACCTCTTCCTTTGTATAAGTAAAACGCATGGGAGGTTTATTATTTTACCCTTCACTATTAATTAATACACTTCCATCAAAGAATTATATTAATCAAAAAGGGTATTAATCAATAATAAGAGATAAAAATCAGTACACTTTTGGAGGGTAAAGTCTGTAATTTACTCCTCTTTTTTTTTTTTTTTTAAAGGAATGCCTCAGTTTAGATACATACACAGAAGTTCGTGAAAGCTATGATTTAAATTCTAACATCTTCAAGATTAAATGCTCCTAGGGATAGACTTGTACTCCAGAAACGTAAGTTGCTTCAATTGATGCAGATCCTTCTGCTGCAAAGTTGTCCCATGAATCAGTTGAAAGTACGACGAAATCTGCTAGTTTTCCAGGTGATAAAGATCCAATGTCTTTGTCGAGGAAGCAAGCGCGTGCAGCTGAAATAGTATACCTGCCATGAAATGTAGAACTTTTGAGGACCAAACCCAACATTTTTTTCCTTGTAAGAAAACGCAAGCTTAATTGGAAAGATACAAATCTAGAGAGCAAGATTTATTATTAGTGAAGATATGTTCCCAACGCAGATTAACAGAGAGAGAGAGAGACATTTTTCTTCTGTTTCTATGGAATGTAAGAATTTTTTCCAACATGGTTTAGAAGTGTTTTACTTATAACCAAGATTAACATAGAAATTGTTATTATCCACCGATATTTTCATAACTTCAGATCTGTCATCTTCAGAGACAATAACACTAAAGAAACTCCCCAATCCAAAGAATCATAGAAAAGATCTAATACCTAACCCACTTTAAAGCAAGAGATCAAAATTTCATAGTAAAAAATCAAATAATGTAAGCTTTCTATCTTATAATGTAGCAGTCTATGACAATGCATGATATGCTGGCAATGTCAAAAGGATGAAAATATTTGATCAAACTTACGCCTTTAACGCTTCATTCACGGAAATACTTTCCGAAGGAGCCCATGCATTATCCCAAGCAGGCGATATTCTTTTCATTGCTGTTCTGATACCACCTAGAGGATTAACATCTGCAACCTGAAAAAGTTGTATAACTGAAGTTTTAAAAAGAACGTTACATACTCAAAAATGTTCTTCATAAAGAATTATTCTACGAGAATGTTATTCAAACATGAGTAAATATTTGGAATACTTAATGGGAGAGAGAGAGAGAGAGAGAGAGAGAGGAAATATTAAGCCTAATGAGCATAAATGTGAAGCAAAAAGAATTTTGAATCATTATACTTACAGGCCAGTCAGAACCAAATGCTAATTCGACATTGCTACTCAAGAGTGACCGGAACAAATAAGAACCCTTCTGAGCCCTATTGAATCCAAGCTTTTTCGTTGCAGATTCCAAATCATCCAATAGGTGCTCTGGCTGTTGATAATTGGAATATAATTTGATTAATAATGTCACAAAAAAACCACGTAGAAAGAAAACAAATAAAATACAGAATATAAATTGCATGTTGCCAAATAATGAGTCAGAAGATGAAGCAACTATAAGCGAAAATGAAGCATACATACAGATAAGAAGGAATGAATCCCCTCTAGATAACTTCATCGTCAACATAAAGCTTTTCAGAATAAATGATTTAAGATTATGGTTACCAAAAGACCCGCTATACCGACACCCACTCTAATTCTAAAAACTAAAACTCATATACCTAAAATGTCTAACTTTTATTAATAAAAAACAAAATACAAATGAAGTCCTAAATAAGAATCCACAAAAAGCAACAGACATAAGGACCCTAAGTATACATCGATCTATGACTCAATCTTACACGCTTATTTTTGCAGGCAGTAACCTGTGCACGAAGGCTCTCACACGACAATTACCACCCACAAACTAATTAAAAAAAAAAAAAAAACGAGCATCTAATATCCTTCTGCATATTTTAAAATATTTTCCTACTAACGTCAAGAGAGTTTAATACAAAGGTTGTTAGCAGAACCTGTACTGAAGCCACAATCCCTAGTTTACCAAACCGGTCTGGTGTCTCAGGTGCAAGATGCTGGCAATGCTCAATCTGAAAGTTGGCACCAGTCATGCAAAACAAGGGCGGAAAAGATAGATAAATATTTTACTGGAAATAAATGATATCTCTGCTGTTTGGAACCATCTTCGTATTATGCCAAGTCTTACCCGGAATCTTCGATCCCGTAATCCGTTTTCAGAAATCACCTTTTCATACATATCAAGGATCAAATCGTTTGCCCTATCACCTATGGCATGAATGGCAACCTGAAAGAAGTCTTATTATTGCAATAGTCTACATTATATATGTCAAGGTGGTCTAAAACTAGGACAGGAGTCACAGGACTAGACCTGAAGTCCAGAGCTATCTGATGCCAAAGTCATATTGAAAAGCTTTTCATAATCTGTCAATTGTAAGCCATAATTTTGAGGCTCGTCAACATATGGCTACAAAAGGTTGACACCGAACTTCATTGAAGTTATCAAATAATAATAATAATAGCAATTATAAATAAAAACATTTTTTCATTAAAAAGAACTACAGTAATATATAAATTTCAACAATAACAAAATGCATTATTTCAAGTAGCAGATAGGAGTGAGACTGGCTAAACTATTACCAAAACTAAACAGGAGTGAAGCTGGCCAAGCTCACAAACAACAAAAAATTTATTAACCAGTCATATATATAAATATGCATATATATATATATATATGGACGAGTTTTTATTCATTACGTTTCAATAGATAATTACCCATCAAACATAGAAATTCAATAACATAGCGTAAGAATCCAATCTCATTAATTATCATACATTTTTGTGGTTAACTACCCAATTTATTACAAAAATCTAGTATTGTGTGGTTTTAATAGTTACTCTAATATTTATCCAGGTATTGTTGTTTTTGCCATAAAATATTAATCAGACAGTTGTAATAAATTGAGTAGTTGAACAAAAAAATTTATGGAAAATGGCAATTTATGAGATTTGATAGAAATCGCAATTTTATATTTGATAGGTAACCACTGATAAAAACGTAAGCATTGAAAACTCGTCTAATATATATTACCAAAATGAGGCTTTACATACTGGCCCTCCAAACCCTTATCGAACAAGAATACTTAACTTAAAGGTGCTGACATAGAAACTAAAGGAAGTGAATGCCAGGTATTATTATTCTTACCTCATAAAACAAAGCACTATTAGAACCTAAAGACCCATCAGCAAAAGCTTTGACACCACCCAAGTAAATCCATTGGCTCACAGCACGACCCATTTTATTAACAACATCCTAAAAAGTAACAATAGACGTTTACAAGCAAAAGTGTAGGAACATTGAAACTTTAAGAAAGCGAATAAAGATTGGATTAGAATAAACCAAAAGGAATAACACCCTTAAAAAGGGACAATACAGTTTACGAGCTGGAACAGTTGAAACTTTAAAAAACCTAATAGAGAGTAAATAGACCAAAAGGAATAAAACCCTTGAAGGGGCATGCTCATCTTAAACAATTATTGGCACCTCTGTCAATCATAAAAAGAAAGGGGTGAATCTTTTTTGTCCCACACTCAAAACGCTTTTATTTATTCATTTACTTTTTATAAAGAAGCAACGTTCAAATAAAGAACACAAATTACACAATTTTAACCAATGTTGGATCAAAAACATTAAATGGGTGTTCTTTTCATAGGTTTGAATAGAAAATTTAAATATATATAAAAAAAGAGTAGAAAACTTAAACTGATATTTGAATTTTGTGAGAGAGAATCTGTAGCAAAAAGATTGAATTGTAATTCAAACCTATGAAAAGAACGGAGCCTGAACTTTCCTTTATGAACTAATATAGTTGTTAGTATAAAACACGTGTAACGTAAACATCTTCTGGTTTTCACACATTAGTTTTTATTTCAGAAAATCGAAAGAATAAGAAACAAATAATTAGGTAAAAGTCATAGAAGTGAAACCAACGCACAAGTAAGCGTGACCAAGTCTCTAACGGGAAAAATAAGCAAACCCTGATCCTCATCTTCCCTGAAGAATCAGCCCATTGATAAACATCTGTAGAATTCATGCAAAAAGTACATTTAAAATGAAGTAAATGATGGTTCAAAAGTCATTAATACATTATCAGTGAGCTGCAACAAGGAAATTTAGAACTCTGAGAGCATGGACACAAATTAAGCCTCTGAAGAAAAATGCATGAAACGGTTGAAATAAATGCATCTACTGTCGTATGATATAATGTGCATGGGTATGTATTTGTGTTTGTGTCCGTGTGTCTCCATGTATATAATTACTCTATTTTTTTTGCTGATATATTAAATCACCCTGAGGTTTTTATTTTTCTTCTGAAATTTGTAGCTGATATATTTAAAGAACGCATTTTTTTTTTTTGGTCCAATGAAACTTGTAGATGATGTTATGTTAAGAAAGGCTGTTGACTGTTGAAGAGAAACCCAGTACGCATCTGATTTTTAATTCCATTTTATTGTTAAAATGGCATCTCAAATAAGGTCCTCTTTAAACTCGATCCAACCATCACTGCGGTAAATGACAACAATTATCTTTTCCTATAGTCAGGTAATCTATGATACACGAGTTATAAGATTTCCAACAATGAGAGTGGCAATAAACCCTCGAGCAATTTTCAAAGAAACCTGAAAAATCTTTCCATGGAGGCTCCACAGAGGACCCAGGCAAATATCTCCCAAGGTCAACAACTGTTGTAACGCCCCTCATCAAGGCATGTTTGCTGGCTCTTTGAAAAGCTTCCCTTCGTTCATCTACAGATACCTCCGGAATAGATGTGAAAAGAAGATTCATTGCGGAATCAATAAGTAATCCAGTAGGTACTGCATAGTGATAACAAAAAGAAGTTATAACTACATTGTTTCACACGAATATCCAAATGGAAAAGTTTTCAAAACTAAAATAGGCGGTCGGAAGTATTTGTGCTACCAAACGATCAGTAATTTTAGGAAAATACAAAATTTTTTTTTTTGGGTGAAAAGAAACAAAACTTTATTAAAATTCATGATGTACAGAGAACACCAACAAGCAGGACGAGGAGCCCAACTAAAACAATAGGGGGAAAAGCCTACTTAAGAAGATTCCACTCCCTAACGAAAACTGCCATATTGAAATTACAAAAATCTTTGTACTCAGGCAAACCAAATAGCAACCCAAAATCCTTCCCCCGTAGTTCACTTTCCTAACAGACATTTCCTTCCATTTTGTTCTAACCAGATTGACCAACACAAACCCAAAATAGCATAGTTCAAAATCTTTCTCTCTGTTTAATAAAGCCATGTAGGGAGAAAAGATACACATCTGCACAAATCAAAGACATTGCCCAGTGATAAGCCTCCACTGCGATTCACTTACACTCAGAAGTGGTTCCATGGGAGGAAACCAGCAGAAGCAGAGGAAATTGGTGGGCTGCAGCACAGGAGAAGATTTCTCCAGTTGGTTAGTTGGTTAGCTGAGTTGGCACTTGGGAGAGAGAGGATTGAAGGATGTGTGCGGAGGCCTAGGAGTTTGGGATTTGGCGTGACGCAATTCTATTAGAAAGGGTTAGAATAAGAAGAGAGGATTGATTCCAGAAAAGGGCATCGATCATTTTACTAAGTGAGAATTAGTCGAGCTTTGGCTCTAGGCAGTGCAAGGGGTCTCTCGAAAACCCCCATATCTTGTATTCCTTCCTAATTTTCTCAATTAGTAAAAATCAGTAAGATTCCCTTGATCGATCATTTTCTATGTTTTACTCATTTACTACTGTTAATTGCTTGTTGGTTCTATCATGTTGGTATCAGAGCAACTACCAAGGATGACGAAGAGGACATACGATCGTGAGAAGGAGAAGATGGAGGGTTCTAAGGAGGATATTGATAGGATCAAGTAATACAAATTTGAAGTTGTATTACTCAATTGAATTGAAGCAATACAATAGAATAGTGTGAGCTTTCGAGAGGCTCACTCCCTCCCAAACAGACTCCAGTACAATTCTTGCCTTAAAAAACCAAACCCTTCCCTCCTTTCCTTTTATATCCCACCCTATACATTATTTATTCACCACTTAACATTCTTTTCCAGAAACACCCTTTCCCCAGCCAAAAAATGCCCACCGAGACTGCTCTTAAGCACGTGCCTTGGCACGCCTTGCATAAGTAAAGTGTACCAGGGGCCTATCAGTACTCCCGCCCCATGAGTCACCTTGTCCTCAAGGTGGAACTCCTGGAACTGGTTCTTAATCACCTCAAATAGTTCCCAAGTTGCTTCACTTGCTGGCACATCCTTCGAACGAATCAGCACCTCGCATCCTCGCAGAGAACAAGTGCGCAGTCCCAACACTTCCTCCGGCTCCACAAGCAATTCCAACTCATCGTTTAGCTGTGGAGGAAGATCCGAGGAAGAGTGTGAGGCCCCAATGGCCTGTCGCAATTGCGAGACATGGAATACCGAGTGGATAGTTGCCCCATCAGGTAGCTGCAGCTTGTACGCGACAGGGCCGACTTGAGCCACCAACCAGTCCCGCACAAAGCACTCAACCACCTTCTCCACTGGAAAAGGGTGCTTAAGCCCCACAAAGTGTGTGCATTTGCTCAGCCTATCGACCACTACAAATAGTGTCCATGCCCTCCAACCATGGCAGCCCCTCGGTGAAATCCATGGACAAATCATCCCACACTTGGTCCGGAATGGGCTATGGCTGAAGCAAACCATTCGGGGACAGCGTAAAGTGTTTGAATTGCTAGCAAGTAGAGCATGCCGCCACATACTTCCGTATGTCCAACTTCATCCCTTCCCACTGGACCATCGTGAAACTCTCGAATCATCGCCGCAACCAAGGGTGATCCCCTAGGCAACACCAAGCGCTGCTTGTATAGCAGGTGGCCGTGAACTAAGGTGTACCCCGACCGAGCCACATGGTCTTGCCTAAGTTCGGCCACAATAGATCCCAACTTAGGGTCGGCTAAAACTTGGGCAGCGACCTCATCCAATTGGAGCAAGTGAGGTATTGTTAAAGCCATGAGCTCCACTGTAGACTCCAAGCGAGAAAGTGCATCGACAACCTTGTTCTCGAGCCCGTGTCACCCCTGCGCGCGCCCATCTGTGGGACTGGTTCGAAGTTTTCCAAAAAAAAACATCATTGTGTAAAAATTTGGGCAACATTTCCCCATAAATATAAGCTTCCCCAAAGCCATAATAACCTGTTGAATACATTTTACAACCTGTTGAATAACATTTACAAGCAACACAACACTTTGGTATACATTTTACAACAAGCAAAACAACATTTTATATGAGTCTTTTAAGCTTGTACTCGCTCCAAATGGAAGCCGCAAGTTCCAACCGGTACATTTCTACTAGCTCTTCAGCGAGTCCTTCTAACAGGATTTTGCGGACAAAGTATTCGACAAATTTGTATGTGAAAAGTCCGCAGTCACCTGTTCTTCGGTTGTTGACCAAGTTCTTATGACGAACGATTGGCCATGCACTGTCAAGTTTATCGCCCAGATAGTTAAATAAACCTGTGTACTTCAAGAACTTGGGCATCATGACAGAGATAGGCTCCACGTATTTTTGCATCTGTTGATCTCTGTACATCATAATAGCTGAGTCATAAACCTTTATGTTAATTTCAGATAAATCAACATAAAGCGCAACCTAATGCTTAAGCTCGATGTTAAGAGGCATAGTGAAGCCTTGCGCGCCATCCAATTTCTTTCCAATTATGCGCTTTTCTCCACGGACATATTTATCCAGATCGGTGTCAAATGTATACTTTGCCAAGCGGGATTTGTTGGCAGTGAATCGCCCTTTCAATTTCTGGTAAAATACATCATCTAGGATGATAATATCGTTATTGAACTCTTCTTCGTTGGCCCGTGACCTTCTCATAGATAAAAGACCCCATGCCTCGTCAATTTGCTGTTAGTCATAAAAAATAAATTCAGTATAATGATAATGGTATAAAAAACAAAACTATAATTTTAGAAATTATGTTGTCATTACTTACATCATTGAACAACCAAACACCTAGCTTCGAGGGGATCTAGAAGAAGTCCTTCATCCAATCACCAAAACCACACTCTATCAGCTCAGAGTATGTACTCATATCATCCAATCACTTTTTGAAGGCCTCGACAGCATCTTTATAAGTCCACATCTTCTTCATCACCTTACGCAGGGGATCTGTGTAAGGCGACTCAAAATACTTGCTGGGCTTTTTAAGTCGCTTTTCATTCTTAGATTCAAACTCTGGCTCTGGCTCAACCTGTGGCATCTGTTGTTCCTCAGGCTCTGGCTGAACCTATGGCTCAACCTGTAGCATCTGTTGTTCCTCAGGCACTGGCTGAACCTATGGCTCACCGACATCCTCAGGCTCTGGATGAACCTGTGACGCACCGATGTCTGCAGGCTCTGGCGGAACCTGTGGCTCAAGTTGTTCCTCAGGCTCAGGCTCTGGCTGTGGCTGTAACTGTTGTTTTGCTAGACATGCTATTTCAACCTTTATTTCTCTAACTGATTGGTCAAGTGAGTCTAACCTCTTATTGATGGCTTCAAAATGTCTACTATTGTACTCTACCATCCTCTGATAGAGTATGTCAAGAATGCGGTCAATAGACATACCATCTTGCAGACGAGGTTGTTGTTATTATTGTTGTTGTTGTTGTTGTTCTTGTTGTTGTTGTTGTTCTTATTCTTGTTGTTGTTGTTGCTGGGGAAATTGCTGTTGTTGTTGAGAAAGTTGTTTGGGAGGCTTCGGTTGCTGGACATGGACCATTCTTGCACCAGAGTTCAAAAACGATTCAAGCTGGTCAATCTCTGCATCTTCTTGATCGGCATAAGATAGATACAACCTCACGCTCATACTACTCAATTCCTCCTCAGTGGGATAAAGAATTGGTACGACCATTCCCTGTATATTAAAAAAACATACATTCAATGATTATTTAGGTGGAAACATATTGAAAAAAAAAATACCTATAAACACATTGTATTCAAACTCTTACCTCACCACTTTGCATGAGGTCGTCTATTTGTCCAACCTCGACCAATGAAACCCGACGTGCCTCCCATTTGAGAATTCTGGAAAGACGTCCATCAACCATTTTTGCAAACGTGGCGCCGATGGTTGGAAAAGTTTCGAATGCCCAAACACGCGTTAAAAATTATGCCATGGTTAGAAAACTATGTATTATTTACTATAAGGCCGTGATTAAAAATTATGCATATAACTGTACGACATACCTGGAAGGCCCAAGGAAACCCGCATATTAAGTAGGTTTTCTTGATGCTCTTATGACCTCCTTTCCGAACCCATTTATGAAATTTATCTTTTAGGTTCTTCCTCAACGACCGCAGAGTGCATTCAAAAGACACCATGCCCCATGGATAGTTGTTAAAGAAATCTAAATCGTCGACGTACGATAGCCATTCCAGAGGGACGGTCTTCTTCTCGTCCCCAGATAGTAATACTTGTGCTAAAAGGTAAATGATAGCGATCTTTGCTTTATCGCTACCATTTATCTTGTTTTCTGTGAGCAATTTCTTTAAATCAGCAACAAGTACTACTTGGGCCTTAAAATGCTCTAACATTCTTAGATTCTTCGAAGCTTTCAACAACACGTCCGGCTCTGGGAATTCCTCGCAGTTCAATCCTGTGATTAAGGCAAATTCCCTCATTCCGAACCGAGTTGGCTTTCCATTAACCATGAACCACAACTCATATTTCTTTTCTGTTTCTATCTGCCTCAGAAGCAGATAGTGTGTCAACACTCCAAAATAAATCATATTTTTAGACATCGAAATCAAATGTCCCAAGGCAGATTCCTTGTAAATTGGCATTTCGGTTTCAGGGTCTAAATTCTGCCGTATTACCTCCAGGGCCTCGATCTTTGACTTCATAGTGACTTTCACTGGGAAGTACTCCTGTATACGATCCATGATCATCCTTAGCTGTCCAATCCCAGGAAGTTCATCTGTGTTGTACTTCGGGAGGTAATTTTGAAGGAAAAAAAAAAAAAAAAAAAACAGACATCGGTCAGAATCGACGGGGTGGCAAGGGTGCGCGCGCGGGGGGGCACGGGCGCGCACGAGGTGGGGCACTGGTGCCCGCGCGGACCCTAAAACTGAAACCGACCTAGAACCGACTATGAACAGACCACAACAGAACCAAAACTGACTAAGATACGAACAGACCACACACTAATGTATGCAATTCTTGTTTTCTTATATTAAGTTTTTATTTTTGCAAAAATGTAAAAAAAAAAAAATAAAACCTTAATTTTATCTGAGCAGATTCCGTTGTCTCGTTGACGGGGGTTCGGAAAATGGCCGTCTTAGTTGATGAAAAAGAGCTGTTTTGTGATGCCATTTCAGTCATGGAAATCGCTGGTTTTTGGTCGGTTTTTAGTGAGGGAGGTGGTCGGTTTTTGTTGAAGAGGGGTCGGTTTTTGGGTGGTCGGTCCTCGGCGAGAGAGGGTCGGTTTAGTCGGGGAGAGTGAGGAGTGTGGTCGGTCCTCGGCGAGGAAGGGTCGGTTTTGTCGGGGAGAGTAAGGAGTGTGGTCGGTTCTCGGCGAGAGAGGGTCAGTTTTGTCGGGGAGAGTGAGGAGTGTGGTCGGTCCTCGGCGAGGAAGGGTCGGTTTTGTCGGGGAGAGTGAGAAGTGTGGCCGGTTCTCGGCGAGAGAGGGTCGGTTTTGTCAGGGAGAGATGGTCGGTTTTGTCAGGCGATGAGAGAAACTCAGCGAGAGAGAAACCGGTGAGAGGTTGTGAGGGAGTCAGTCGTGTGGTCGGTTTGTGAGAGAGAAAGGGTCGGTTTTTGAGGGTTGGTGAGGAGAGTTTTTTGAAATGACCCATACACATAGACTAGATAGGACCCATTTTTTGACACATAAGATACATGTCATAGTTTTTTTGTTATAAAAAAAAAGTGGTCTAGATCCCCAATTTCTGTTTTATTGTAGTCTCTTTTATCAAATTTTCTCCTTTTTAGGCGACAACCGAATGTGATCTGCTCCTAAATCGAAGGATGCTCTTCAACTATCGAGCCTAACCTCCCTTCCTCGTGAGGCAAATTACCCTGAGCACATGACACGTTCCCCCTTAAACGCTTTCCACGTGTCACCCAAGACATAAAGGAAGACATAACGATTTTGCCCACCGACTTCTCACCTTCACTCCCCCGTTCCTTGCTTACGCCATTGAAACCAGTGGCCTTAACGATTGGAATCTCACTCTTGTCCCCGTCGGTAGCAGCCTCCTCATCGGAAGTATTGCCAGTATAGCTAGTATTGCCGCGTTTCAAAAATATAATCCCGAAATCTTTGTTAATACAATCTGCCTTCCCTACGATTGCATCTCCAGTCATTTCAATACTTCTCCAAATAAGACCACTAGTTCTACCATTGGACAATGTACTATAAGGCTGATTATTTTCTAGATTGAATAATCCGAGATGAATCCTCTCTCCTTGACACGAAACTTCCATAATTGGCGACATGAAACCATCCTTGAAACCCCTCACCTTAATCTTGGCAAATAGCAAAAAAGATTGACCTAGCGTATCTTCTGCAATTTCGACGAGACCACTGCAGTTATCACCTATGATTTTGAAAACATGGTAGTTCCATAAATTTAGCGGCAACCCCTCAATTCCAATCCAACTATTCCTTGCCTAGATTTGAACGTAATTCCAATGAGAATACAATGACCAGGGCTCCATGTTTGCAACGAGACTTTCTATAAAATAGAGTCTAATCTGATAGTAACAAAGCTCTCCACGCTTCATTCCTACACCAAGTAACTGATCTGTTTGCTGCTAATGGCACCAATTCAGTTGACCTTGACAGTTTCCTCTCTAATTCATTTTTGATAGCCTCCCACGTCCAACCCACACTTTTCTTGTTCACAACCACCGCCAATTTCCATGACTTTACAACCTCACTCTCCTTCTTTTCCTTTGCATATGTTGTGTTACAGAAATCCTTACCATGATTTCTTCGAGCAAGACTCCGTCTTTGGTGACCTTCTGCATTAACTACCTTTCCTCTATTCATGGCAGCTTCCTTGAAAGTCTCCTCTTTCCTAATCCCTCTACCATTCCCTATAACTTATTGAAGACGACCCAGAACTTAAATTCTTTGAAGATAAACACTGCAGACTAAGGTACCAGAAATTTCAAGGTAAAAAAATAAAAAAAAAAGAAAATCAATAATACACGAGTCAAACTTTGATTTAAGGATCACAAGGGATGCCAAATGCATGTATTGAGGAGATCATTCCACAAGTCACCTTTTTGAGCGACATTTGTGCTATCCTCTTTAGCACAACCACTTAGCAAATAAGGCAAACCCCAATTACAAATGTGACGTACCATTTTTTTGTTTTTGATGCTGTAAAACAAGTTAGGCGTCAAAAATAATGAAACAATAGAATCAAACAGAAGAAGAGCCCTACTTTCCAGAAGAAGAGCCCTAGTATGAAGCAATAAGGAATATAGGGAGTACATAATGGTTCATATGCTTACGGAATGTCAAAACTAGAAAATGATGATTGCTAGGTCCTGTTTTCAATCCATGAATTCTCAGCTCTTGTACTAAGATCATCCTAACACTGAGGTATCATGATTTTTTTATTATTATTCTAAGGAGAAATATAGAAACGTTCATTATAAATTAACAAAAGTAAAAAAGAAAAAGAAAAAATAAAAATAGAGGAGAATAAGAGGTCTTCCAAACAAACAACAAATAAAACAAATACGGATTCAAATATTATCGAAATCTCGCACTTAACATGGTGTTTTTGATAAGATCATGTTTTTTAGGCAGTTATAAATATGTAAGACGCGTATGAAGTCAAATATTACCTCCAGAGGCAGTTCTCATAATGATTCCACCATGAGGATCTTCTGATGCGTTAATAATCCGAGCCACCTTAAGTGCCGCGGTATTTGCCAAGCCCATGTGGCGATCCATTCTTGATAACCAAACCTGCAAAATAAAATATTTTGAGGGAAAAAAAGTACGTTCTTGTGAATAATATCCACGGATGCAGGCCAAAATATCTCTCTCAAACAAAAAGGAAAAGTGCCAAAAAAAAAAAAAATACTATCATATGGCTTACAGGATTATCAAGTGTAATATGATCAATCCAAGAGGCCGTTGGCAAATCTCCTCCCCAGAGATCATTGTTCCAACCACCACCAAAAATCCAGGAACCTGGTTTTGCATCTGAAAATTATTTGCTTAAAAATGTTCAGTATTTTGCAGCTTAAGATTTGAAATGGCAATTGGAGATGTAAACCATCATCCCCAAATACATAATAGTTTTCTTTAAACTCAAATGTTTCACATCATTAATGATCATGCTGCTGACATCCTAGCAAAATGGTTTACGGTCAAAATAAGGCAACAAGCAATCGTGTGTGCAATAGAAACAGCAGGATTTCAGGTCACCGCAGTTCACTAGATTGGTATACAATGCATTCAGTGTAGGATTGAAAGAGAATAGAAACAACGTGGCAGATCGACAATGAATGAAGGGAGCAACAAGGTAGCTTCACCTACATGCTAGATGCACTGTAACCAAGGATGGGCAGGTCAACTCAGTCTAAGGTGGTGATGTGTGGCTGTTGGCAATTTGCACCAAAAACACATGCCGTTGATGCAACAATAGTAACTAATATGGTCAGATGAGGAGCAGCAATCCCTTTAGTGTGTTCTTCAACAATTTGGATATTACATTAAGGATACTTTTAATTTTCTGAATGGCCACACAGAGGCTTCAGGACAAGCGTAGGCTCCAATATCAGCTGGAAGCAAGAACGATAGGAAATCCGGAAAAGAGGAAGAAAATTGATGGACTGATCTCAATACTCAAGTAAAATCACCTATATGGTTTTTTTTGGGGAAAAAAAAGAAAAAAATAAGATACAGTGATCAACACAAATCATACATCAAAGAGACTTTGCACACGTTTCAAAGAAGATAAACCAATACAATGTCAAGGCCGAAATGCAGCAGACACACTTTGCGCATTTTGAGTATCAACTTGTTTTTCTTCTATAAGAAACCAAATTTAATTAGTGAAACTTACTTCTCGCAGCTTCTTTGACCCTTCTCACGAAATCATCCTTTTTATTTATGCCCCGCAGGTCCACCTCTGTCAACTGTATCCATTGGAAAAGTTCAAATCTAATTATTACCACATACAAAGATGAAAGTGCTTACATGACAGCTTCTTATTTTCTATTGCTCAAATCAATGAAGACATGGTAGCTATTGATCATGAGAACACATTTATATAAAAAAAAACAACAACAACAACAACAATATTACCGATATACAACCACAGCTCTAAAAAACATGCTTGAACATCTAATAGCCTTTTAGGTTAATCAAACGACCGACTGCATTGTTTTTAATATTATATTATTATTATTTTCTTAAGTTTCTTCAAACATACAATCTCGTCTGGAACTAGAACTCCCAAACTAATGTTTTTTCAAAATGAATCCCGCTTAAGCAACTGTTGCACTTTGACACCTAAACTAATGTTAGGGAAAAAAAAAGTGTTTAAGAAAGGAGTACACACTCGGGCTACTGACGCAAAAAGAGAGGAAAAAAAAACACACAGAAACTGCATACATGAACACAAAATCTGAATAAATTGAGTCAATCTTACAGAATGAATTGGCTAGAGTAGGTACAAGAGAACCATAGGACAGCAGTTCTTCAAGAGACTGCTCGTGCTCCACGCTTGGAGAACCGAAGACTTTCCCCAACTAATTTCCCGACACACAATCTCTCATTCTTCCCCTTTATATCCCGTTTCAATCTTTAATTCTCTGTTCCCACTATAACTGCCTAACAAACTCCTTAACTCATAGCCGCACAACATGTATTATACACTTTCACACTCACTAACATATGTCTTTCACTACTCAGCTCCTCTCCTTCTATTCTTCCTCACACAAGTGTATCTAATTGGTGGCGTATCCGGTACCGGTAAATGACTTTGTAAATTCTCCCCTAAAATTACAGCCTGATAACAAAATGAGCCTAGAAAGCCCTCTACAATACTTTTCAGAACCATTACTTATCACAAAAAGCGAAAACCATGACAAAGTTAATTTTAACTCCACCTGAGGAAAAAAAAAGCCTAATTTATGGTCATGACTACATCTATTTTAATTACCAACAGTCATCTTCTAAAGAAAAACAGTATTTCCAGATATTTGCAATGCTCTAAAATTAGCCCAAATGGGAAGGAATATATACACATATATATAGTCTAGAACAGAATGAATGTAGAAACTTTACCCTCAAATAAAAAAATAAAAAATAAAAAACCATTTAGAAAATGGAGGATTAGTAGACCTGGCGTCCACCCCAAATGAAGTGCAGATGGGAATCGATAAATCCAGGCACCACAATCTTTCCTTTCAAATCTAACTCTTTTGTCCCATAACCCACCAGTTCCTGCATTACATAAATGTTAAACAATGGAAACGCCTAAGAGAAATATCATAATTTGCATTGAAATTTCTCCCTATAAAAAAAAAAAGCCCGCAACAATATCAAGTAAATTTGCATGTTTTGGTTGTCGAATTCTTCATCTTTCATTTAACAAAAAACAAAAATAAAAAAGAGATTAAATTTAAGAAAAAAGACGTATGAGGAAGCTTACCTTGAGAGAGGAGTAGTTTCCAAGTCGGAGAATTCTTCCATGGTGGACAGCGATGGAATCGACGAAAGGAAGAGAATCGTTGCTCGTGTATACTATCGCATTTCTCACCACCAAATCCGCTGTGGTCTTCCAATTGAATAAGCGAAGACAAAGACGAACAGGAGAAGAAGCAACGATGGCGAAGATGAGAGCAATGGAGGCCGAAGCTAAGAAGATGAAGGACGAGGACGGCTTCATTTTTGGGGACCTAGCTGGGCTAATTCAATTACTTCGCCAACTAGTAGTCATAAGTTTAAAATTAGGATTATCATCACTGATTCCTGATATTCAGGTTCAGCCCGTTTGATTTAAATTTTTAATTGAGTTGAGATGTGATTTTATGTGAGAATTTTTTATTGTAGTAAAAAAATTAGACGTGACTGTTTATGAAAACCTTTTACTGTAACAAAACTCGAATTCTAAACTTAAATGAGTGAAATAAACAATACTTCAATTTACTTTTTAAATTTTAAAAATTCTCATTTTACTCTTTTAAATTTAAATTATTTCCACTTAACTTTTTTTTTTTTTATAATTTCTATTAAGAGAATAAATTTGAATTATTTTCATTTAACTTCTTCTTTTATAATTTCTGTTAAAAACATATATAAAAAAAATAACACAGTCACGTAACATTTGTGTTTAGATTTCTATTAAAAAGAACATATAAAAACTGTTAACGTTTATGCCTTTAAAAATAAATATAACAACGTATTTTAAGACATTTTGACTATTAATAAAGATTGATTTATTTCATATATATTTATATTGTCCTCTTTACGTTTATATTAGTTGAATATATAATAAGCAAATTGAGGGTTCGTTTGGTATAAGGATTCAAATCAGAATGATTCTAATCATGATTTTGAAACTAGAATCATGATTCATTATTTTAGGTTCAAATCATGATTCTAAAACCATGATTCAGAATCAGGGGTTTGAATCACCTTGAATCAAGAGGGGGAGTGATTTTAGAATAATGATTTAAGCTAGTTTAAAACATCACTTCAGATTCTGAATCATGATTCAGAATCATCCAAATCATACACTAATTCTGACTCTGGATCCATCTACCAAACGCACCCTGAAAGTCTAAGACTATCATTCTAAGTCTTTAGATCATGCATGTAATGAGAAGAACAACAGAAGACGGGAATCTAAAGATAAAAGTCTAAATAATATGATACGCAATCGAGAGAATAAAGTTTGGCACTTTATTAATGTTAAGATTATTATGTTATGTACTTCTTAACGGAGACGGTTTGTTTTGGTTGTCGGAGGTGGGACTCTATGGGTGCGTTTGGAACTCGTTCTAAAATGATTTTATTTTTTATATGAAAATGGAAATAAAAATGTTTTCAATCTCACACAGCAATCATTTTTAAAAATGAGTTTGGTAGTTTTATAAAGAGATTGTTTTTAGTATAAAAAAATATATTAATTTCTATATCTCTTTCTCTGTGCTCGAGAGAGAAGAAAACGAAAACAAAAAATGAAAAATGACTAAAAGTCATTTTTTATTTCTCTTCCATTTTACACTAAACCAAAAAATCATTTTCATTTATGTTTTTTTTCTTTAGTTGTGTTAAACGTCGTTTCTCTCTCGTTTTCATTTTTTCTTTCACGAAAAACGTGAAAAACAGAAACAAAACTAACTCCAAACATTGCTTATGAGTAGTGACATTGATATAATTCCTAGTGGTGGAATCTATATTGGATCGGACCAAAGTTAAATTATTTTAATTAATAATTTCATTTGAATAAAACAATTCACTTTTGACAAATTATATGTGGTCATCTTAATCCTTAAATGAATAATAAACCCTTATACTTGACTTGTATCCTTTTATGTATCAAAGAGAGACATCCTGACATTATGGAAATGTACGCTTACCAATACATTAGGAATATAACTATTGTGTGCGTAGATTTATTATTCGTAGGTAGGGACCCATAGCTTCTATAAAGAGTCAATAATATCCTCTTATGACATTATCTGTGGATTGAAAAATACGAGCAATCAGCCATTAGACTACTTTGTGTTATCTAGTGGTTTACTATTTGTATTAATACGAATAGTAGTTTTCTGATGGAGTGGTAATATAACATAATATAAATATAATCAGAAAGGTAAAATGGAACTTGGCCTTAAGTCGATTATAAATATCCCATGAGGACGACACACTAATATAATGAGTCGTGGACGAGAGCTATTTGGAGCTTTTTAAATATACTATATGAATTGAGAGTGTAGCTCTAAGCTTTTAGTGGAATAACACTAGAGTTTATAATCATGAAATGAACTTGTTGGTTTACAAGTACTGTTGTGATTATAGGAGCTTAATTTGTATATGTTTATCAGGTCCCTGCGCTCACATAATTTTCTATAAAAATACGGCGTATTTCCTATATATTGGCAACTTATGTTATTTTCGTAAAAAAGTTCAAAGTCAATGTGAGATCGGTTATTAATTCATGAGTATTTATCGGGTGAATTAATTGATAAATTGATTCTAGATAAAATGGTGGAATTATTGTTTTAAGTTTTATGTAATATGGGAAGACTATTACATGATTCTTTTGATCAGGTAACTTCTATATTGTATTATTTGAATCAAAACTAAGGCTCTGTGCAAGTTTCTCGTATTAAAAAAAACTTGAAAACTGATGGGTTGTTCTTTTGGAGTGTGACTTGAGTGTAGTTTTTTAGTTATAACTTGAGTTTAAAGTTGTAACTTGAATAAAGTTGAATAAAGTTGGAACTTAAAATAACGTGAACTTGAATAAAGTTGTAACTTGAGTTTAAACTTTTTCTGAGTTTTGTTGTAAAAGAACAACCCCTAAGTTTCCGGAACAGTGATTGGTCGACCGATAGTTTAATACACTAAAGGGACTAGTCGACCAATAGTTTTATACACTAAAGGGACTAGTCGATCAGTGGTAACGCTCAGAAAACTGACATAGCAAAACTGACTCTGTACGGAGATTGACTTTGGGAAACCTAATTGTTGTGGAAATATGACTTCCTCTCAGAGACGCATTGACATAGCAAAACTGACTCTGTACGGAGATTGACTTTGGGAAACCTAATTGTTGTGGAAATATAACTTCCTAAACTCTATAAATAGCCCAATAAGTCACATTATTCATTAGATCACTTGAAATACTTTTTGGGTAATATTGGTAAGGGTTCCTAGGAGGAAAACTTGGTTCAATCTAAAGATCAATTTTTCTTTTGGCACTCTTGTGGTTAGAAGGAGTTCAAGAATACCAATGGGAGATTGAACAATGTGTGCCCACTCGCACTCCGATCGTGGAAACGAGAATAGTAAAGAAGACCAGTTAGTTGAGGCTCTTCCGGTTGCCGTTTAGAACGCTTTGATCTGTCAGACATGTTGTTTCGATAATCCTTGAAGGTATGAGTTAGATCTTTGGTATTTATGTTATGTAACATCATGAACATGTTCTTGGTTAGCTTTGGCTTTAATTTAAAAAATTTTAAAATTCCGTTGCGCACTTGACACTACAAGAAAAATGACTTTTCGTAGCGGTTAGTTATAGCGTTTCTCAAAAAACGTTACTGTTAAAGTCTATAATAGCGTTTATAAAGAGTTATAATATATATATATATTAAAATTTGTTGACATTTTGACTGATTTGTTTTATATATATTTAAAAATATATAAATGTACATATTACAATTACATTGAGCGGGCATTAGAAATAATTTTTAATTTTTAATTACAATTGTGTCATTTTCTTTTTTAATTTACTTCTGAACTCCAAGACTTTGTAAAAATGACACTAGATTTAGCTATACAAAAAGAGCGCTTTGTTTGAGCTGAAAAGGAAGCTACACTACTTCTGGTAAATGTGTTTTCTTCATACAAGAAGTTGACTAAAATAGTTTAAAAGAGAAAAGGATATGGTGGCTAAGAGTTTGGCCTAGGATGACTAGAAATAGAGTTGGATAGGATTCTGGTAGAATCTTGCTCATTTTTAAGTCTTTTACATGTTCTGTAAATGACTTTAGCATAAGGGGACTCTTGTAGTTATGTTAAGGGTATCTTGTAGCACTTCAATAAAACTGAAAGATGTTAACCTTTTGTTTTGGTTTTTTATAGACTTTTCGTTGTTACCGACTTTACCATACAAAAGTAGTATTCTTGGCGGAGAAAAGACTAGGTCTAATTATCTCTTAATGCATGAAATTCATATGTGTGCAGAGAGTTTACTACATTATCCTGCAGAGAATGTCATGTGTTGGGACTATATGTGGGGTGAGGAACTTATAGAATATGTCCTTGGTTTCTTCAAACCTAAAAACATGAGGATTGATGTGGTATCAAAGTCTTTTGATTCAGAAGGTAAGCTTTGTGTGTGTGTGTCAAACGGGTGGGTGGGTGGGTATCAAAGTCTTCTGATTCAGAAGGATTGTGGGTGTGTGTCTTCCTGGTGCTAACCTTGTCAAAGATGTCAATGTAAAGAATAAGATGGAAAAGAACTCAATTGTTGAGGTAATGCATTGATAGATCTCTTTAATAAAAGAACTAAAGTGCTCTTGCTCACAAGTTTTTGCCTTTATAGTAAAATTTGTTCTGCTGTTCACTTGTATGGTTTATCTGGTTTTTTCTTTTTGTGCTTCATTAGTTAATCAATTTATATGTTTTAATTAATTAATTGGACTAATTTTGTGACAGGACAATAGTTGCTTTGTTGGAGGAGATGACCTTTTTGTTGGAGCATTTTGTCAAGATGGATTATTTACTTAACCATTTCATTTGGCTAGACGTTTTGAATATTTTGATATCTCTAGTTATTTCTCTGTATTCTTTACTAGTTTTTAATGTTAAAGTTGTGGACAAATGGCGTGGCTTGTGTTGTAAACATCTTATTGGCAACTTTGTAGATATTGATAACAATTATTACATTGAATGTTTTCATGTTTTAATTTGAATATTTTTATGTTTTAATTTGAATGTTCGTATTTAGATATAAGATGTTGCTCGGAATCACTATCTATTTGAATGAATTCAAAAGGATATCAATAATAATTTTAAAAAGTTACAACAGTATGAACATAACAAGGAAAAAAAGTTATTAATCTGTATCGTAGCTATGCTAAAGAGCTGTAAGAGGATGAAAATAACTTTTCTTACACCCTATAATACTTCAATTCTATAGCGCTTTTTATAATTCTCCTGAAACACTATGTTTTCTTAGGA